GCTGACCAAAAGTTGGTATTAATTCATCAATAACTGGTACTGCGAAGAAGAAAAAGTGGTATTATTTGCGTCAAAACAGGTACTTTTTTACAAAAATCTTTTTTTTTTACGTTCGTCGGAGTTGGTACTGAAGACCCGATATCTAGTACTAGAGCACCAAATTGCGGTATTATCCTACTCAAGGTCTGGTACTAATATTGCAAATGTTGACAAAATTGGAAGTAATCCATTTTTTGTTCTATCTGCAAAGTAGGTACTAATTCATCAATAATGGTACTACATAGAAGAAGTTGTTGAAAAAACTGGTACCATTCTACGAGATTCGTTTTTTTATGTTTGTCTGAGTTGGTTGAAAAATATTAATTAATGCTAAACGAATCGTTCACGCGCGATTTGGTTGAAAAATAGTGGAACTTAAAACATATATGTAGAATTTGAATTAATCAATTTTTTAAGTTATCCATTTTTTGTTCTTTCTACAAAGTAGTACTAATTGATCAAATAACTGGTACTGAATAGAACAAAAGGTGGTATTATTTGTTGTAAAACTGGTACTGTTTTACAAAATCTTTTTTTTTTAATGTTGGTCTAAGTTGGTACTGAATAGAATAAAAGGTGGTATTAATTGTTTTAAAACTGGTAATGTTTTACAAAATCATTTTTTTTTTATGTTCGTCGAAGTTGGTACTGAATACCCGATATATGATACTAAAACACCATAATATCGGTACTATCATACTCTAAGTCTAGTATTAATTTTGCAAAATGTTGAGCAAAATTGAATTAATTCATTTTTGTTCTTTCTACAAAGTGGGTACTAATTCATCAAGAATCGGCACTACTACCTACTGGTCAACTAGAGCACTAAAACAAACAACACCAAATAAACACAATCCCAACAAAGGCCAACAAGAGCATACCAATACAACCAAAATAACCAGCCCTACACCCACACAGCCACTAAAAAGAACCAAAAGAAAAAGAAACTCATAGAAAACAGAAAACAGAAAACAGAATCTTATCAAGCCACAAGAGAGAACTCCTGCCACGCTCTTCTAACTTCAACATCCTCCGGTATCTTGACTTTTTGGAAAAGCCAAAACTGGTAACAATTTGAAAAACATAAAACCATCATAAAAAAACCGTCACCCAATCAAACATATTGTCAAAGTATCTTAAAGGATGCTAAACCGTTCAATACACAAGGGAAGAATAATTCATCATCTGTTGGCTAGACAACAAAAAGAGAACAATCATTCTTTCGAACATTATAATTTTAGAAAAAAAAAAGATGCAAGTTTGTTAGCTTCTACAAGAACCAACATCTTTATCCAGTTGAATCATGTGGGTTTAGCAGAAAAAGATTTAATGATTCCTGATGGACTGTGATACGTTCCACAACCCACATAAAAAATAATAAAAGAAATGTATTTAATTAGACTATCAAGTTATCATTTGAAATGAGTGGCTAGAAGAAGCTTGCTAAATTACAAGGTTTCCCGAGCTGTAAACATGATCAAACCGAGTTCAAACATTGAGTAGTTGAGCCAATTAAGCTCAAATAACAAATATATTAGTACATACTCCAACATTTCAAGGTCCATCACTAACAAGGCTAACAACATAATTGCATTACTCTTGTGCATGATAATGAAGAAGTCTCACCTTTGGCAGGAAAACAAAATTCTAGTTGATAAAGTTATTTATTAAACATGGTCTGAAGTTAACAACCCAGAATCCATGTCTACAATACACATATTAGAAAAGATTAATGCATTGTCAAAGAAAGTAAACACTAACCTCTTCTCCCAATGATTTGCACTGAAGAGACGATGAATTGCACGATCATCTAAATTCGATTGGTTGGCTAGACAGGAAGAGATCATTTGCCTAACACATGTACTTGCAACACTCCTTCGAGATGCCATTTTCTGAGCAACTATTCAAATGAAACACTCTATCCCTCTCTTCTCCTACACACTCTCTCTCCCTCTCTTCTCTAAACCCACAATCTTGAATAACTTCCACATAAATTAAATTCTAAGCCCTCTATTGACGGCTGCGAACAATATCCTAAACCCCAAAACGTGCAAAAAAAAAATAATTTTAATCTAGCAAAACAGTGAAAAAGAGGAATAAATAAAAAGAGCCCATCAAATTAAAGAATGCTTTATTCTACAAAACGCAATAAAGATTAAATCTTGGAACGCAAAATCAAAAAATAGATCAAATTCCACAGGATGATTAGAACATAAAATAATTGAATCCAAATTGAAAAGAGACAAAAAAAAAAAAA